CCAATTAAGCACATAAACATGTGGACATATATACATGTAAACATCTAACAAACTAAATTACACTTGCAACTTTATGTCTTAGAAAAGAAGCATCAACACAAAGATGTTTGCAGATAACAATGACTCAAATGAAATAGACAGGAAGTATCTCTTTTAAGGGGCAAGAGGCAAACAAGTACATAGATATTCATGGCTTAATATGTAGAGAATCTATTTCAACATAAACAACTCTGATTCATGTTAACACAAAATAACCCAAAATCATCCAAGGAAAACAAACCAACATAAAAAAAATATCAAAATCATAGAACAGTAAAAAAACTTGAACTAAGATAAAGCATCCGGAAAAAAATTTTGACTGTAAATCCAAAAGGAAAAAACAAAAAAAACATAAAGAGTTGACAAATTTTCCGTAGTACTCGTGTTACTAACTCTCAATTAACTAGCAAAATTGTCCATTGAAACTCCAGTCAGTTTAGATAAATCTATTGGAAGTATAACTTCACTACCATTATTTATACATAAATTGTTTAAAGAAGTGCAATTATTAATTGTGATAATAAAATATAAATTAAACATGGTTAAAAACAAGATTGAAAACATTGTCATTTGCATGCAGAGTGATTAAAATGGGCACTTTTATCAAGCATGCATGTTGTGTACAGTGTATACACACAAACAGAGAAGGAGAGGGGGGAGTTACACTTGGGCTATTGAGTTTTCTTTTCCTTGTTAAGAGGCAGTGGATTTGGGTGGGATGGTCTTACAAAATGATGATGGGTAATTTCCTCTAAAACCCTTTCTTGGGCACGTTTTTGTGTTCCAAAAATCTCATAAACTTGGATGTTTGTTACATGTTTTTGGTAGGGCTTAAGATGATACTAAAAATTATAGCTAAATGAATGGATGAACAGTGTCTTTAACTAAGTCTCGCAAAACCTATGACAGAGATTGAAACTATAGAAGGAAATATGCAAATAGCTTAGTGGTTTATACCTTGACCTGTTTTGGTGTAGGTTATGGCACACTTTACTCTGCAAATATTCCTAACATAACCTATAGCTAACACCTCTTCATGAGAATTTGTAAAGTATATTATGAAGACTATGATGTCCAATCTATTTATTGGAAACAACATATACAGTTGCAAAACAATGCGAAAACTTGGTTTGGTTTGGTCCTGCTGTTGATATTACAATCAATAGGACTTATATAACATAACTGAATTGGGAATATATGTGCATAATATAAGTCTAGTTTCAGCAGATGTGCAGCAGATATTTGCAATCATATGCAATGATCTACTGTTTACATCATGACATAAACTTTGAGTATACAAAAATGTGAGGGTGTTTTTTTATGACGCAACTCTTATGGGAAGCTTCCTGTTTAGAGGAGGAAACAAAATAAAGAGAAGGATCAAATATGAGAAGACTAAATGGAATATCTTGTTAATTTTATAGGCAATGTGATATTGATAGCATGAACTTAATTGTAGTCATGATGGTGCAAAATTGAAGACCATGATTCTGTAATGCATTTTCATGTGAAATCTACAGATCATCTATATTTCAACTCAACACATGCTCACTGTACTTTGTTTTCTGTTTTGTTTTGAATCTGTAGCTTTGATTCACAGTTTAACCAGAAAATTGTTCAAAACATTGGGAATAAATTGAATCAAACAAAAACAGAGTGCTGCCCCTATCCAGTTGGTATACATTATGAAGTGAAGAACATTAACTTATGGTTACAAGGTGGCTCAACTGATGTTGGCGTATTTCTGATCTATGGGATGGGTCGAATAGGGAAGACAACCATTGCCAAACCTGTTTACAACCTAAACTTTGACAAATTCGTTTGATTCAACCCAACAGTTTGATTCGTTTACAAAATAAAAATTGTTTCAGATATATTGAAGGCCTCCGCATAAAAAAAAACCCTAAATGTAGAACAAAAATCATAACCCATTTACTTGTTTCCCACAAATCAAACTCAAACAGGGAAATAGAAGAAGGAAGAGAGACAAAGAGAGAGAGAGAGAAAGAGACCCGAATCAAATTCAATGGGTGTCAGACGGTGTACCTGTGGTGGTTCGGGGGCTCTGAGCGACGGTGGCCGATGGTTAGTCGATGAGAGGAGATGACTGATGGGCTGTCGACGAGAGTGAGAGCAAGAGACTGGAGTGTTTCCTTTGGTGTACTCAACACATACAGAGAAATAAATAAATAAAATGAAACATAGCCTGAAAATATGCAGTACTATTTAATATTCTCACCAAATTTTTTTGGTTTTATTGGCGACAAAATCAATTTAGTCATTAAAAGTAACCTTTGCCTATCAAAATTTTTGTAGCCAAAGATAAAAGTAAAATAATGTTTAATTATTTGGCGACTAAACCATTTTAGTAGCCAAATATTTTTATGCGACTACTAAAAACATTTTTCGTTGTTGAAAATAAATATTTATCGACAAAAGATTGGTCGCCAAACATTAATACCAAACATTTTGCAAGATTTTTACTGACTACATATTTTTAGTAGGCAAAAATGAGTTTACAGCGACTAAAAAAAATTTAGTAGTCAAAAAACAAAACTAACGCCGACTAAAATGTTCATTAGTCGCCTATTACGGCAGTTTTTAGCGACTAATTTGTTTTTTAGTCGCTAATAAGTAATTTACAATGACTAAAAAAATTTAGTAGCTAATTTTTGAACCAATGGCAATCAATACCAATTTTAGTCGCCAAAGGTATGAGTTTTGGCAACTAAATTAATTTTGGTCGCCAAAAGTGCAAATTGTTGTAGTGTATATTTGATTATGAATTTTGAATTTTATTCAAAATAAGGATAATTAAAGATACCATTGCTCAATTTTAAGGGCAAAGTAGTCAATTTGATAAAATATAAACTAATTTGACAAAAATAAGTGTCAAAAAAATATTTTTGAATTTTTAAAAATTATTTTTACTCACCAAAGATAAAATTATGTAAAATTGATAAATTTTTTACACATTATTTATTTATTTATTTTATCAATTTAATTTTTATTATGTGTTTGAATTATGATCATGTAATAGGTGTTGTTAGATTTTAATGTGTAATCGATACATTTAATATATGAAATATTTTTAGTTTTAGATTTTTTTTATTTAATGGATTGGTTTAATAATGAAATCAAAGTTGTCACCATATTTGACTTTTGAAAAAATAAAAACTAATTTAATGAAAATAAAAACAACTGACCATTGCATGATCATCATTCAAACACATAATAAAAATTAATTTGATAATAAATAAATAAATAAATGTGGAAAATATTTATCAATTTTAAATAATTTTATCATTAGTGGGTAAAAATAATTTTTAAAATATTTTGTTGACATTTATTTTTGTCAAATTAGTTTATATTTTTATCAAATTGACAACTTTGCCATTGAAATTGAGTAATGATATCTTCAATTGTCCTTAATTGGAATAAGATTTAAAATTTAGGCACAAATATGTCACAATTGAAAAGTCAGGAACCAAAGTGATACAAGTCCCAAAGTGTAAGGGGCCATTAGTGTAATTCGCCCCCCCAAAAAAATCATAGTTTATGGATGAAAGCAAAATTATTCTAAAAAAAATTGTAAAATTCATTAAGAGTATCTCCAATGCTTACTCTAGGTTAAAAATTTCATTTGATACTAAGTATTTCAACGCTAAATTTTTTATTTTTATCAAACAACTAGTCGACTAGGAGGACAACTAGGAAGATGTTCGGGTGGTCGACTTGCTCAGTATAGATTTTCTTCAAAGTTTCTCCAATTCAGTCACCAATTCGGTTGTTCGACAGATCGTCCATTTGGTTGATCAGGCGGTCATCCACCAATGGTCATCTGCAAGATTTGATGGAAAATTAAACGCTCACTTAATTTGATGAAAAAAGTAAGACTCCCTTCATTTGATACAAATTTAGTAAAACAATTGGAATATCGTTTTTATTAAATTTTTATCAAATTTAAATTTAATAAAAAAAATTTGAGTTTGAGTTAAAGATGGTGTAACACGGTCGCACACCTTACTACCCAAAAAATAAATAAATTATGGATTAGAGTTTATAAAAAAAATTATAGTAGCGTTTGGTAGAGTTTTCTAAATATGATTTGAGAATATGAGTTGTATTTTGAGTATGTGAGTTTAAGAATTATGATTTGAGTGTGAAAAATTTGTTTGATGAATGAGTTTTGAATTGAGTGAGAAATTTTTGATGTGACATATGATATTTTGTTCAAAAACTTATAATTCATAATCAAACACACAATTCAAAATTCTATTTAAAACTCATAATTTTTTTTTAAAAATTCTGATTTTTTTTATTTAAAATATAAAAAATAACAGGTGGCAATTGTTAAAAAAAAAAAATTGCACTATTCTGGTTATTTGGCTGGTCAACTGGCCGGATGTCCGGAAAGGACAACCGGTTAGCCCAAATTTTTTCGCCTTGGACAGAGTTTTTAAAAGTGAGTGTGAAATTTTTTAAAAACTGTAAACAAACGTCAAACACAAATAGAAAGGTAGAAATATATTTAGAGAATACAACCAAACACAACCTATGTTTTTAGTTAGAGCAATGCTAAAAATCTTTAAAAAATTATTAAAATTTTTATCAAATACCTCACATAATATGAGGGTCACATAAGATTCACATAATATAAGTCATGTAAGTCCCATATCGTGGTCTTGTTTATCATAACTTAAAAAAAATTAAAAAGTCACTATTCTATTTAACTCATATCATCTTATTTAAGTCACATTACTTCTCTATGATATCACTTTAAACCCAATTCATATTTCATAAAAAATCAAAAAATACACTTATTTAGATCATCCTAAACTATCCTATAAATATTTTGGTATTTATTTATTTATTTGCTAAAACTATGTTGTTATTTTCTCAAAAAAAAAAAAAAAAAAAAAAAAATTCTTTTTTTATTTAATATGCAAAAAGAAAAAGAAACAGAAAAAGAAAGAAAGCCCGCACACCTCTTTCTCGATCTCTCTCGTTTGTAGCACGCCGGCGGACTCTCTCTCTCTCTCAGCCGACTGATAGCCTTCACCGCCGATTGATCTTCGCTGAGTCTCTCAACTCACTCACTCAGTCACTCACACTGAGTTACGCTCACTAAAAGGTATTGATTTCAACTCATCTTTGCTTTCCCTTTCTTCAAGTCTTTTGGAACTTCTCGTGCTTCAAACTTTCCAGTAACTTTTATTTTCTTTTCCCTCGATATGTTTTGATTTTAGGGTTTGAATTTGTGTAATAGCGTTGAATTTAAGCTTCTTGGGTGGAAATAGGGTTTATGGTTTTGGGCATAAATATCCAATCTTGGCTATACTTTATGCATTTTATTAGGGTTGTGTCTGATTGGATACTGTTATGCGACTTTCTTTGATTGATATGGTGTGAACATGATATCAAATCCAAGTGCATTAGAGTAGGATAGAGTAAAGATGTCAAAAACAAGAGCAGCTAATGTGTTGTTTGTTTTTGAAGGCATAAATGGAGGTTGAATTGATTCGTGTTATGAAGATTTGGGTTTTTAATATGGTTTTCTCCTGAAAGGACATGGGACGTGTGTTGAATATCTTTATATGCAGTGTTGATCCTATCTCCTAACTTAACCTTTTGGGACAATTGATGATATCAGAAATTTGGTTCCATAAGGTTTTGGTTCAAGTTTTGTAATCTATGTTTGCTCTAGGGTTATGCTTATATTTATGTACACTGATATGTTTGTGTTTTCAATCTCTACACGTGCGAGACCAGTAGGTGGTGGGATTAGTCTCCCGGGATTAGTCGAGGTGCAGGTAAACTGGCCCAGACACCCAGTTATTAAAAAATAAAAAAAAAGGAAAGTGTTATATTCAATTGCATGTATATTGTACTGTGGTGTGGGCACGTGTGAATCAAGTGCAATAGTTGTAATGGTGAAGAGTCAATACGTGAGACTAGAAAACCAAAGCCACTTTTCTTTCAAGTGAAAGTAGTCTTGAAAAGTTCAACGAGGAAAATATTTTCATTATTTTTTTTTGATAAATTAGAAAATATATATTTTTTCATTCTTTTTGTATTGCTTAATATATCTATGGATGTTTTATCCTCTTAAACCCTAAGATTTCTTATTGTCTTGCCCATGTAAAAAGTAAATAAAAAGTTGCATAAGAACTCTCTCTCTAAATCAGGGTACATCCAGTTTAAAGATATAAAAGGCCCTTGTTGATGGTATTGAAGTGACCATCCTGTTCCATTAGGGTGGGTAGTCATGTTAACATTATTATTCTGGTGGAGTTTTGTTGAAATTTAAGAGGGGAGTTACACAATTAAATGTGACATATTCCCCACCAAAACAAAAAATAAATAAAAAAAATAATTGACTGGGAAATTTTGAATTTTGGAGAACTTACTCTTCATTTTATTTGAATGCTTGTGCCGTGCCCTTTTGGCTGAAATCACCTTAATGATTTACGTAGTAGTAGTGATACATTGGTGTACCAAATTGACTGCACATTGTTGGAAAATAATATTGATACATGATTGATAACTTGAATGTGGTTGTGGAGGTTCTTCTGGCTGGAAGTGAAATATTTTTATCCAATTCAATGGCATAATGGTGGAACATATAATATTACTGTCTTTAATTATTATTATTATTATTATTATCTTTATCATACATGTTTTGTGCAGGTTTGAAACCATCCCATTTGGGCATTGCATTTGAACTGTTTTATTTTTTGTAATCTTATTGCATTGTTTCATATAGCTTACAGCCTCACAGAATTGAGAATACTTGGGTAGACCTAGTACTTCCATCTTCAAGCCAGATATTTCGGTGCATGTCGTTGTGAATGTCAAAGTCTCAAGAATGAGAAAGATTAAAATTGAGAGATGTAATCATGGAAGCATGAATTTGCTCTCTTCTTTTATTTAAGCAGAGATTTTAGAAATGTAAAATTATTGAAAAGTTTCTGTGCTAAATTGAATGATCAAATCATGCAGGAGGGCCCAAATGTTTTGTAGTTAAAATAGACCAATTTGTTTATATGTATATTGAGAAACAAGTTGACTTTGATCCTTTTTTTTTATATCTGTGATTTTTATTACCAAAAACAATCACGAGGAGTCAGACATTATAGGCCAATGGTATTGAATTCGTTGATTTTTAACTTGGAAAATTAGGTTGAAGATATTTCTCCTCTGCAAGGCCTTATCCTCTATATGCACATGTATCTGCCAACATGAAATTCCTTTATAATTGAGTACTGATGTGTGAGAATAAAACGTTGACTATCATGTACAGATTTGGAAAAAAAGAAGAGTGATTTTGTATTTTTTTGGTTTTTTGTTTTCCTCGTTTCATTCTGTGTAACTCTATGCTAATGGAAAGGCCATGTTTTCTGCAGTGCAAGGAGAGATGAATAAAAAGAACCCACTTGTATTCTTGGATTTATCAATTGATGGGGATTCTGCAGAAAGAATTGCTATTGAGGTATTTCTGTAACTGGAAAACCTTGTTATTTCTTTTGCTCAAATACCGTAATCCTCACTTGTTATCATGCAAATCATGCATGCGTTTGTCTATTTAGATACTGATGAAACCACTTTTCTGAAAATGCAGCTTTTTGCTGATAAAGTTCCAAGGACAGCTGAGAATTTTCGTGCACTTTGTACAGGTACCTTGCTGCGTGTTGTACTCAATTTTGTTTAGAATATTATTACTTGTAATGAACCCTGCCCGCCAGAGGTTCGATGCTGCTCTCTCAATAGGTTTCTGAATTATTCAACTTCCTTAAGATGATTTAACAAAGAAATAAAAGCAATGAAAATCCCTGTAGACTGAAGGAAGATTAAGAATAATCAAGGCCAATATTGACAGAAGGGTTATTTATTGCCTTTTGTTCATTTTACCCAATTGAGAAGAAGAAACCTTTTCAGTCTTTTGACCATCAAAAGCCAGTTTGGTTTTTCCCTCTAATTGGGTTTTGCATTTCCTGCTTCCATTTGCCTGAAAAAAAATTATTGGCTTATATCAATATGATTTCATGAACTCCATTATTCTGTTGGTCAATGAGAAAGCATCAGCTTATTTGATGGATTTTGATGGTCTTGTATTGTGGTCCTCTGTAGGTGAAAAGGGCATTGGAGTTTCTACAGGGAAGCCTTTGCACTACAAAGGATCTATATTCCATCGTATAATTAAAGGATTTATGGCCCAAGTATGTAGCTCATATTATTTACAAATCATTTTAGATTTGAACAATTACCTGCAATGATCTTTTCCCTTACCTTTTCAGTGCGACATTCATGCGATATATGACTGTTCTACTAATGATGGGGTTACTTGCATGATTGCATCAGTCCTAAATACTCCACATATTATCTGAAGATTTCTTATCTCCTTATGGAAGGATATTGTGCTATCTGCATGTGCAACACATATCTTTGATGCTTGGCCTTTTTAATGCAGACCTCCTAGGCAACCCTTGGTTTGTGTCTATTCATTTGAAAATTAGAAATGGTAAGTAATAGTTGGGTAGTTGAGAAATTATTGCTAAAAAATCAACAAGAAACACCATAATAAGGGTCATGATGAAATTAAAGAACAGTTAATAGTTAATGGCTTAGCCATGCGGCTGTGATGAAGCCTGTTTTTCCCTTGTTATGTAGTATACATGAATTGATTGATTCACATTAATGATTAGATTTCTTATGGTTAGTCTATTTTGAACTGAATATCCATGAGTTCGTGATGGTGTTCTGCATAAACTTGAAAGAAACTCGAAAGACAGAAAAGTTTATATATATATAAGTTTTATGGATTAGAATTGGAAAGATGCATGAAACATAGTGTCCTTATAGGTAGGGTTTTGGTAGTTATTTCCAACTCCTATCTGTGTTGATATAGGATAGTGTAGCAAAGAATCTTCTGAACACGTGGATGAACTAAATTATGTGGATGAGTCTGTTATCTGGGAGATTAAGCATATGTTATGCTCTGATTTCGGAGAGTTTGAATAGCAGAGGCATGGGTTGGCTACACGTAATTGGCAAAGGATAGAATGCTTCTCCTCCTTTGCATCTCTTTGCTAGGAAACAATTCTTTTTTTCTTTTACTTCTTCTATGTATATATGTCTGAAAAAATCACCCGTAATTGAATATTATTTCCTTGTCCTTGCAGGGTGGTGATTTTCAAAATGGAAATGGTAAGCTTCTTCTTCCTTGGATCTTTTTCCTTAATGAATGCAGACGCTCTATTTAATTTCCATCTTCATGCACAGACTACTAAGGCACAACCTTTTGGTGGTTTGCAGGCACTGGTGGAGAAAGCATATATGGAGGAAAGTTTGCAGGTAGATTTTGTTTGCAAGTTTGAGCTCACTTATGATGGGTCAGTTAAATGATGAGTAAGAGCATTTTCCTTTCTGAACGCAGATGAAAATTTTAAATTGGATCATAGTGCCTCTGGTCTCCTCTCTATGGCAAATAGTGGTCGGAACACAAATGGGTCCCAGTTCTTCATAATTTTCAAGCGCCAACCCCATCTTGATGGGTACATAATCTTCTATTTGCTATGGGCTTTAACTATCTTCATGCTGCTGCTCCTTTTGACTCATTATTCTTATTATTGACTCTCTTAGAGGACCCAATTAGGATTTTGGTTTTATTTATGTTGCAGGAAGCATGTTGTTTTTGGGAAGGTTACAAATGGAATTGATGTTGTTAAGAAGATAGAACAGATTGGAACAGCAGATGGGAAACCTTCTCAGGTTGTAAAAATTGTTGATTGCGGTGAGATATCCGAAAGCAAAATTCAAGATGCAGATGGAGCAGAGAAAGGTATGAGGTTCAGGTCACTACTAACCTTATCCCAGGAATACTTGATGATGGAACATAATTGTGTCACATTTTTATATTTATTCTTTTTTATGCCTCTTTTTCAGGGAAAAAGAAAAAACCAAGTAAAGCTGTTTCCTCTGGGGATAGCTCTGATGGGCAAAGGAAGGAAAAACGCAAAACACCACTTAAAGACAAAAGAAAGAAGAGAAAAAAGAGATACTCTTCATCCGATTCCTACAGCTCCGATACAGATTCTGATTCCAATTCTTCAGAGACTGATTCTGATTCAGATTCTGAATCTGATTCGTATTTGTCAAGTTCTTCCAGTGATGGAAGGCCTCGAAAAAGGAGGTCAACAAGGAGACGTAGACCCCAACATGTGAAAAAAAGAAGGGATGGACAAAAGAAGAGGTCAAGAGGTCGGCGTGATAAAAAATCAAGGGGCAAATCTAAATGGTATTTTTTTGTCAGTTACATTGAGTTCAGATTTAGTTTCTTGTATACTGTTGCATTTATTTTACCCTTTGTTCACTTTGAAAATCTTGCATTATGTTCAGGAGCTCAGACAGTTCAAGTGATACAGATGCAAGTTCAAGAAGCAGCACTGGCAGCTCCGATGAGGAAAAAGCCAGACACCCTGTTTCTGCCCGTAAAACCAGTAACTCATCAAATGCTCAAAATAAGCCAACACAGAATATTGGTATGTTCCACTTTTACTGTATGACATCCCTTATGACATCCATTGACATTCCTTGTGACTTGACCAATGTTTCAAATGATACAAATATATTTGCAAGTGAGATGGCAAGGCTTCCAGATTGAATTTTAACCATTTCTGATGGTGGTGTTCTGCTCTGCTTGTGCCTGACTGTGTTACAGATGTAGTGAATAAATCCCCCACCTCTCTCCTAGGAAAAGAAACTCTGATGGAGCAGAAGAGGATGGAGGACAACTCATCTCACGAAGAGGGAGAATTTTCGAAGAAGGATGATGAACTTTTGAACAATAGCAACGGCATGGAAAGTAAATCCAATAAAACTGCCAATCAACGTCGTTCTTCGGACAACATCAACATATCAAGGTTTTTATATTGGTTTCATTGCTTGCGTGTGTGTGTTTGCTTTGGTAGCTTTTTGTGTGAGCTAGCCTTTCACTTGCATTACAGAGTTCGGATCAACTATAATTGTTCTGAATCTTTAACTTTATGACGAACAGGAGCCCAACTCCAGGCCCGAGAGGAAGGCCCAAATCCAGCCGTAGCAGCAGTCCAAGCATGAGCCCCAAAAGAAGAACAAGCAGCCCCAGACTCCTAAATGATAGTGGAAATCCTGCAGGCAGTCCTGCACACAAGGTCCCTGAACCTTCTGTATCTAATCATGGTAGGGCTTTGTCAAGAAGTTGTTCTCCAAATGGGACCCCAAAACGTGTTAGAAAAGGGCGTGGCTTTACTGAACAGTATTCCTTTGCACGACGATACCGTACTCCATCCCCAGAGCGCTCACCTCGTAGGTCTTACAATTATGGTGGAAGAAATGTTCTAGAAAGGAATCATAATAGGTAAACTTGATACTAATCTATTTATTTGAATTAAGGGTGAGGCTGCCATTATCTTCAAAATTAACTCTGGTTTGTTTTAGGTATTCAAGCTATAGAAATTATTCTGATCGCTCACCGCAAAGACGCTACAGAAGCCCACCAAGAGCCAGGAGCCCTGCCAGGTTCTCTCTCTGTCTCTCTCACACACACATGTGCGCGCGCGCGCACACACACACACACAATGGCAATGTCCATTGGCTCTTCTGATCAGCAATGCTTTCCTTTGGTATATTATTTCCTGTACTTACATCACTGTAATTTTCTGTTCCATGAACACATTATGATCGTGAGAAGTGGTAACCAAACACTAATAATACCTGATTGAAAACAATTATATCTAATCTGAAGCTGGTCTGCTTCTTTCTCACTGACAATCCATACAGCTCGACCCATATCGACTTAGGCTTAGTCCCTACTTCCAACCATTTGAGGTTGACTATGGTTAACAAATTTCAAAGTTCTAGTGGATCTAATCAGAAAGAGAAGTCTTTGATTTTTTCCCCATTTCTTTGTTTTTATCCTGAATTTTTATTGTTTTTATTGGAGGATTTTTATTTTTGTTTGGAGTCATGCATGCTTACCAAGGTTCAGAATGAAGATGTTCTTTAATTGGCACACTAGGAAGTACAGTATATGAAGTTGAAAACTATCTCCAATTTTATGAGCTCTGCTTTTCTTTTGACTTGTATATATATATGTTTCTGAATAATAGTGGCAGCCTTGTTGACAAGGAATTAATTTTATATTTTCGTCTTTCCTAGATACCGCACCAGGAGAAGTCGAAGTAGGAGCATCTCTCGCAGCCCAAGTTCTCACCGAAACCGTGACAGAAGCCCTATACGCAGTCCTAGCCCTGTAGATAGGCGACCTGCAATGAGTGATAGGTTGAGATCTCGTTTGGGGCCTCGTATGGACGATCAGCGCCGCACTTCAAGGAGAGGAAGATCAAGTTCAAGCTCCAGGAGCCGCTCTAGATCACCCAGTACCGGTCCTAAGGTGCATGCTGAAAAGGTGGCAGCTGCATCTCCCAGCAGGTCTAGATCAAGCTCACCAGCCGGACAAAGGGGTTTAGTTTCCTATGGAGATATCAGTCCCGAAAATGGAACAAACTAGTTTCAGGGATGTTCTTCTGGTTCGCTTTTTGAAGGTAGGTAGAAGGCAAATGAAGGGGAAAAAAATGCTTGCCCACCCAAATTGAAATTGTATTACATTGTAATGTAATTTGATTGCTTGGTACTGCACCTTCTAGAAAGTTTTTGTTTTTTTAAGTTGGCTGATATGTGAACTTGGCAGATAAATGGGAACTGTGATATAACTCTGGAGGTGTAGGTCTTTGTGATAATGCACTTGTTTGTTTGTGCTGCAACATGAAATTCCTATGTTCTGGGTGCCAATATCAAGTTGCTACTCAACTAAAAGGTTTTGACAGTGGCCCATTCATTTGTGTGTGTATGTGGAGTGGTGTTAGGTGCTTTTCATGTGATCTCAGGGCAATGAATTGCCTTTAGGAAGCTGGACATCAAATTTGGAGGAAGGATAGTTGGGAATGGTGAATGAATGGGGAAAAAAGGTAATGCTGCGGGCTTCTTTGGTGATCATTTTTCTGTCGTGTTTTTTGGAAATAAAAATAATACGAAAACAGTCATTTGCATTTTTGTGGGGTATCATTTGAGATTTTTTTTCTTCTCTTGAATAAATGTTTAATTTTTTTTGTTCTTAAAAATGTTTTTTGTAAACAAATTTGTCAAAAAAATTATTTTTGGTAGTTTTTGTATTTGTTTTTGTTTTTGTCATTTGTAAGAGTTACAAGGAAAAACTTGTGCGTCACGAGTTTTATTTTTTATTTTTTGTTTTGAAAACAGTGAAATTTTCTTATGACACTTTGTTTTTTGGTGATTTTATTAATCTATAAACATAAAAATGACTATTGTTTCTTTCTTTTAAATTCAGTTTATTTAAAAATATTTTCAATAATAACAAATCAATTGACCTTAGTTTCCTGAAAAAATTTGCTAAATGCAGTCAAAGTGCCTTTTTGGAAAGTTATTAAAAAAGTCACGTTTTTTATCCAAGGCCAAAAAAGCTAGCAGTCAAAAAGTTGTGAATTTTCATTTGGGGAGAGCAAAAACGCAAGTCTTAAAATTATAACCTACGATAAAAAAATAAAAAAATAAATTTCTTATGTTGGGTAAGGATATTTTGATCATTTTAATTTGATTTGACAACATAAACAAATATTAAATCAAAAAGCTAAAAGTCAGTTTTTTATCAATTTTTCAAATCACTTTTCAAAAAGTTAAAAAGCTTGGTAAAAAATCAAAAGCCAGCTTTTTATCAACTTCTCAAAACACCCCACTTCCTTTTTGCAAAGATATTATTGTTTGCTTATTTTATCAATATACCTTTGCCGAAGTCCCCCGCCAAGAAAATGAAAGGGAAAATTAGTCTAAGGTCCCTCTCCCATTTTTAATAATGGGAGAGATCCACAATATTATTTTATGATGTCTAAAGTCCTTTAACCCCAAACTCATATATCACAGAGAAATTAAGAAGAAACGAAAGGGTTTCAAAAACTGAGTTTGGTCTCTCTTCTCCCTCTTTGCTCTCTCTCTCTCTCTCTCCTACATCCACCCTAAACCCTAGCTTCTTCCATCATCCTCGTGAGCTTTCTCAAAGCTATCAGACCTTGTTCTTGCTCAAACACGTCTAGACTCTTGAGCTTCACAATGAACTCTTCATCCTCAGAGATCGAATTAGGGTTCTAATAAAATTTTGGCTCAAATTCCAGGTTGAACGGAAGCAGCCGCAGCAGCTGCCACCTGCTGCTGGTTCATGGAGAAGATAAAAGCAACTGGTTCATGCATATGTATATATTTTTCAAATCCGACACTACAGAGAGAGAGAGAGAGTTGATCATAAGCTTGCTGCCATGGTTGCATGTGGTGTTGAGGTTGGTGTTGGTCGATGCTTCGCAGTGGTGCTGGCTCGGTGCAGAGAGAGAGAGAGTTGTTTGTCTATAGCTTCCGATGGTACAGATGTTTTTGCTGGTGTTGCTGAATATTCTCCTCTGTGATGCTGGTACTGAGGATCACCTCTTGTGGCATCCTGATTGCAACACAAACAACATATATATCACAAGTGATCAGGATCTTATAATTTCCTAACGCAAAGCTGATTCAGATGATCCATTACCAGAAAGAAATGGTAAATTACGATCACCTGAACTGAATTTTCTCTGGGTTGGTCCAGAGAAATTTTTTGGTTTTGAGCTGGAACCTAGAATGCTTAATTTGTATAAAATCCAATTTTTGTGAAATCAAATTTTGAAACCCTCTTGTTGAGAAGGAGAGCAATATTCAGTGTGTTTGGTTTGAGTTTTCTGAATTAAGTTTTTTGAAAACTGAATTTTTTGATTTTCGTATTTTTTTGTTTTCAGTAAATATTTTTTAAATTTTAAACATTTTTTTTTACTTTTTTAGATGCACCTTACATAAATGTATCTAAAAATTAAAAAATTTGTGAAAAAATATTTTAAAAAATTAATAAATACATAAAAATACAAAAAAATATACTAAATTCTTGTATTTTTTTTTTTTTTTTATTCTTGTTTTTTTTTTTTTTTTTTGTATTTTTGGCATTTGGTGAATTTTTTTAAAAAAAAAATTATTATTTTTTTACTTTTTAGGTGTATTTATGTTAAGTGTGTCTAAAAAGTAAAAAAATTGCTTAAAATATTAAAAAAATTTAGTAAAAACAAAAAAACACGAAAAATAAGAAAGTATAATTTTTTGAAAAGTGTTTTTTAAAAAGTGGAAACAAGTAAGATGATTGATGTTGTTCGATAAATTCTCATAATTTGCTTGACACCAAGAGTTAAGGCAAGCAAAACAGCAAATCACAGAGTTATTTGTGAGAAAATTAGAGAAAATTCAATCCTAGAGAAATTTCAAAACATAGAAAATCAAAAAAATTGAACAAACCAGAGAAATTTTAAATTTCTGTGGTTTGAAATTTCTCTGGATGGAAATTTCTCTGGTTTAAAATTTCTCTAGATGAAAATTTCTCTGAGTTAAAATTTCTTTGGATAGAATTTCTCTGTATCAAATTGAAGGACCTTAGGCATTATAAAAATATTAGATGTCCTTTATACTATAAAGTCTTAATACCAGGAACCCTAAAACAAACCCCAAAATGAAAACCCAAGAAGAAGAAAAAAAAGGGAAGGAGAAAGGTGTGTATACTATCAACAATATCCACAAAATTTCACTGTAAGGTAACGGTGAAATCAACAATGCCAATGACACCAAAATTTGACAGCATAAAACTATCACCATGTCAATTTTTGGCAGCCTAACTTGGTTTGTACCTATTGTGAATCACACTCTGCCAAGGTTGGCATAGATTCATTCATTCCTTCTACCAACACGTTGTAAATTGACTTTCCTAAGAGGTGAAAGCTGAAAATGTACGCCTCATTTCAATAATCAAACAGTCTCTCAATTTTTGGCAGCCTAACTTGGTTTGTACCTATTGTGAATCACACTCTGCCAAGGTTGGCATAGATTCATTCATTCCTTCTACCAACACGTTGTAAATTGACTTTCCAAAGAGGTGAAAGCTGAATAAATGTACACCTCATTTCAAGAATCAAACAGTCATGAATAATGGTGTAATATACAGGTTACAAGTGCTCCAGCTGAGATGGAAGACCTTACCTATAAATTGCTGTGAATAGAATGATCTGATTTCTAGTTCCTCCTCAAACATACAATTATGATCTTAACAATAAAGTTGAGAATGTATAGAGTGAAGATGACGAGCTTGAAAATTAACTACGGTTGAAATTGTCTTTATGCAAATTGGAACAAGCCCTAACATCTCTCAAATAGGTCTACCTTTGGGAACAATTTGGTCTTTGAGCCACATGTAAATTGGAACCAGTACATATTAAGTTCCTGCCATGGCACCCAGAATGAAGCGCACCAGGAACACAAATGGATTGACAGGCTCTGTGCAAATTGGAACAAGCCCTAACATCTCTCAAATAGGTCTACCTTTGGGGACAATTTGGTCTTTGAGCCACATGTAAATTGGAACCAGTACGTAATAAGTTCCTGCCATGGCACCCAGGATGAAGCGGACCAGGAACACAAATGGATTGACAGGCTCCGTGACATCCTCTGCCTTTGGACCAAGCTGCGAGAAGAAAAACACACAATTTCATAAATCTAGAAAGATTAAAAAAAAAAAACTTAGATGAGCTTCAACAGTAACTTAATCAATATAGTTAAGTGTTTGTAATACTAAAGAGGTATTGTCTAGTTAAGGCTGCAAATCATTTCAGCAAAACTCAACAAGCCAAATGCTACTACATTTTATTTTTATTTTTTTTTGTTTGGACAACTGCTGGTACCCCAACTTTTACATATATCCTCGTTAATTATTCTGGTACAAATTCAATAGGTCCAAATTTCCGATTTCAGGGGTCGTGTCATGGGATATTTAAAAAAATAAAAATAAATAAAAAAACGTAACTAATTTCACCACCACAGATAAACCCAATTTGTTTGGCTATTGGATTCTGGAGTCCAATTCTGTCTCTTTCCTGCAACTAGAATAATTTTACAACACCAATCCTTTTTATTATGAAACTGAGATGTAACCTTACATTCAAGCTTGAAGCAAGAGGTTAGAAGTTCGCAGGCTAATAAAATGACATCAAGAATCAACAGTGAAAAAATATATAAACTGCTCATCCAAACCCAAAACAAATCAAGATAGTCAAGCAGAAGAATCATAGTGATAAAATGGATTTCGAGCACATGAAACTATAACATTGAACAAAAAGATGTTAAAGAAAATTGATAATTCCCATTGGGTATGCATAGAGTTTAACCCATGTTCCCTTAATCTCACCTGCAAAGGAGAATCCCCAGAAGCAGATTTGACACCTGTAACAGAACATCCCATGATCAGTCCATGGCGGCGAACACCACGGTACCATTTTGGGCCAATCCTCTTCAGTTGAACATCCTTAAATCCAGCCTTCTCAAACCACTCAATGTACTCTTCCTCTTTTGGGAAGAGCATCCACACATCTGCAAAAAACCGAGACAGCGAAAATGTCGGGTACACAGGACCAATTAGGCATGCCTTCCCTCCAAGTTTCAACACCCTGTATGCTTCCTTGATGCCACGTTGTGGGTCTGGCCAATATTCTATACTGAGAAAATGCAAACAAATTCTTGTAAGAGAGACCACTAAGGAAGTAAAATCCCTCTTCCTCTCTCTAATTCATTTTCAAATTGGACATAAACGACTAATCAATTTCATTTTGCAAATCTACCTTGTTATTAGTATCCAATCTACCCCTCTCACATTCCCATCTAATGGGGACTAAAGTTGGCATACAATGTTATTTCTGTTAACACTTCTA